ACCACCCTTCCACTCGGGCACTAAGGAAGAAATCTCACCGTCAATCATATCTGCGATCTTAGTCACATCTTGATCAGTAATATCCAGCTCCGCAACCATCTCAGTAGCAACACTCAGTGCTGTATCACTTTCGAGGTTGAAAGGAAAATAAATATTACGAACACGACCTGCAAATTTGGAACTATAAGGGTCACTCAATTGGACTATATATTACTATAATTCACATGGGTCAAATCACACTAAAAGATTGAATTCAACCAATTAGCTAGTCTAACTCATGGCCTTATAAAACCATATGTTCTCTCTTATTTTATCGATGTGCGACTCTTAACAGGAACCAAACGAAAGAATGAATCCATACCTTCTTTATCTGCAATTCTGAGCCGTAAAAAGATGCCATTGTCTTCTTTCATCTGTCCTTGAATAGATATGTGAAGATTTTCCAAATTACCATCATTGTCTTGGCTCATTAAGAGATCAATCTCATTTCCGTGGTAATCCAAATTGTCATCTTGTTCAAATCCAAGATAATTAGAGTAGCCATTTACCAGAGAGCCATTGTTGTGATTGAATTTCAAGTGAGGCTGTATTAGCATAGGACCCATATTATAATCTTTTTCATAATCCAACGCCCTCATTTTCATATCGAACGCAAAATCATCATCCTGTAGAAAAGGGTCATCAAGAAGCTCTCTTGCAGATAGCCTATCGGAGACTGTTGCTAAGCATTTCTCAACAAAACGACGCACTTCAGGATCCGTAACTTTGTAAAGGGCATCCGGCTTTTTCCCCTACACCAAAGAACAAAAAAAAAACTATGTTAACTAATAGTTGAATACCCGGGGCTCAATGAGGCTTATAGTTTTTGTTCTTACGGAGATCACTTTCTTGTATATCTGAGCAGGGTGAGTGCACTCGCTATACGGATATTCAAAGGTCACTATTTCTAAAATACACATTCCAAACGCATATATGTCCACTAATTCATTGTACTCCTCGGCATACACTTCGGGAGCCATGAATTCCGGAGTTCCTGCAGATGTAAGGAACAAACACAACGTGAAACAATGCTACTTAGTTCTATCAGTGTCGATTTGATCTGTTTTATCATATCATTCTTGGAAAGAAATTTCAACAAACCAAGATGGGTGATTTAACCTACTACCAATGAGATTCGAACAATTGTGATTACCTACACAACGAGCAGCATGGGATTTACGGAGGATTGCAGCGAGGCCAAGATCACCAATTTTGACTTCCCCCTGGTTACCATTGATAAATATGTTGTCGCACTTGAGGTCTCTATGGATAACCGGAGGGGCACGGCTATGGAGGTAGAGAAGGCCTTCCAATATCTGTTTACACCAATGCTTCACTGCCCTAATGTTAACCCTCTTGTGTTTCAACCTATACCTATTCATCAGTATTTCGAAGCCGAGATTACTCTACACCAGAATATCAAAAACCAAACACACATCCCATGATAAACAAACCTTAACAAATTAAATTAAAAGACAACTAAATCCAGAGAACATAGGACTTACTGTCTTAAAGTACCAGAGGTGAACATCTCAGTCACAAAGTTGATGTTTCTGTTCTCAGTATCAACCCAAGAAGTGTAAAATTTCATGATGTTCTTGTGCTTTAGGGTCTTGAGCAGGTGAATTTCACAATATAACCTCTCAAGGTCTTCTGGGCTTTGCATAAAGTCATGAAGTTTCACCTGATTCCAGGCCACCTCAATTCCTTCATACTCATCAAAAGCTCTATAACTAAAACCCAAAAAAAAAAAAAAAAAAAAAAAAAAAAAAACCAATAAATGCCAGGATTTGGAGCAACCATCATCAGTGAATCCATATATTTTTCAAGAAAAATTAAAAAGGTTGCAACTTTACAAAGAGGGTATGGCACTTACACAGTCTTGGAAGCCCCTTTACCAAGAATTTCATTGTACTAGAGATAATAAAGAAGCAAATACACAAGTTAGAAACTCATAAATTCATGTAAAATTAGAAAAAAAAATGAAGAGAGGAGAGGAAGCAGGCATACCCTTCCATATCTTCCAGTAGGATCAACCTCAACAAACTCAGAATCATCTGATTCTATCTCAGTGACATTATCCATTCCCTTCAATCTTCTCCCCAAATTATTCTTCACCTAATGTTCTTGATTTTTTTGGCAGTGCAGAGAGAAAGAAAGAAAGAAACATGGTTTGGCAGTCCTGGAGATTTTATGGTGGAAGAAAATCCCGGGTGTACTTTCATTGCTAGGCTGTGGTTTTTAAAACAAAAATAAAAAAAATAAAAATAAAGAAAGAAAGAGAAAAAAGAACCTATAAATTGTGAAAGACAGTGGCCTAGGTTAGTCCATAGAAACTCCAAGAATGGACAACTGGGCAAACGTATCTCTCTAGTTTTGAAGGTCAAATGTGGTCTTTCAGGCCAATCATGCCAAAAAACAAAACTTTTTTCTCCGGCGCTCTTTCTTATCTCTTCACGGGCGGTAAATCCAATACAAACAACAGACACTCGCGGTCAGTGACTCAGTGCAGTTTCATTTTCACATTTCCTTCCCTGCCCCCACACCATACTATGGTTACTTTAGAAAATGTTAAATTATTAAGAATATTATATTTCAATGTTTGGTTAAAATATGAATATGTAATATAATTATATTTGGTTTAGATGTTATAGGTGTCACACAATTTTTTGACTTTTATGTTATAAATATTTTTATTTTAATATCTTTAACATATTTTTGTGTATTTTAATAAATTTCAAAACTAAAATAAATAAGGCAATGGGGTAACACGTATAAGTAAATAATTTAAAAATAATTAACTAAGAACTTGAACTTGATAAACAAAATTACTTTATAAGCTAACATGATATAATAAGAAATAAAATAAAACATATAATTAACATGACGTAACAAGGCAATGGTCCTCCGTTTGTTTGACCGTTAGTCAACCGTTAACTTGGGACCAAATAGGTAATTCGCTATAGTTAAGGGGCCATTTTGGTAATTAACTTTAAGGGTAGGCAATTCGGTTCAGTTTTCTCGAAGCGAACTGTATCAAACTAGTTAGATTCAGTAATATACCGAACAACCGAATGGTAATAGATTCTTATATACTGAACGGTTCGGTAAAAACTCGAACTGAACTGAATTGTTCGGTAAAAACCGAACCAAATTGGATACCGTTTGAACTTTGGATTGCTATTTTGTTATATATTAGACTTTGGATATGGACTATGTAAACACCATAACACATAATATAGAACTTTTGATAACAAACCATAAAGAAATCAAATAAAACATTTACGAGAGATACCCGTGAGAATATGAGCTGAACGGCAAAGCAAGCAGCAAGGGACTTGTATTTACTTTTTATTTATTTATTTATTTATTTATTTATTTATTTATTTATTATTATTATTATTATTATTATTATTATTATTATTATTATTATTATATTAAAAAATCAAACGGTATTCGGTTCAATTCAATTTTTTACCGAACAATTCGGATCGGTTTTTTATCGAATCGTTCGGTATACAAGAATCCAATACCGTTCGGTTGTTCGGTATATTGCCGAACCAAACTAGTTCGGTTCGGTTCGAGAAAACTAAATCGAATTGCCCACCCCTAAAGTTAATTACCAAAATGGTCCCTTGACTATAGCGAAATTACCAATTTGGTCCCAAGTTAACAGTTGACTAACGGTCAAACAAACGGAGGATCAAATTGATTAAGATTTTTAAAGTTGAGGGACTTAATTGGTTAAAAAAATAGTTAAGGACCAAATTGGTAATTTCACTATAGTAAGGTACCATTTCAGTAATTAACTCAAATAGAAATTATGCATGGAAATCTTACCAAATCTAAGAGATGTAAGGGAATCACATTCCCTTCAAAATTCAATGTGGAGGGAATGTTGTATTCCTTACGGAATGTTACATTCTCTTGGAAAAACAAGATAACTTGAACCAAACATGAGAATGTGACATTTCAAATCTCACATTTCATTGGTTATGTTATATAACTTGAACCAAACGTCCCTTAAGGGTGCCTGCACGGGCTTAGTTCACTAATTTAATATGCAGTATTTAAAAAAAAAAAAAAGATATTAAGATTCGAAACCCAGCAATAATAATATAGCAATTATGCTTAAAGTGAGTAGATCCATTATGCACACTGATATTTATTGAGCTACTTGTGATTTACATTATCTCAAATATATGTTCTATCACGTTGGAGTGTAGGGGACCCTTAGAATTGGAGATTCAACTTTTGGGAAAAAAAGATCAACTTAATTGATCAGTTATTATAGTGGATAAATTAGTTCTCACAAAAAAAAAAAAAAAAAAAAAAGGTGGATTAATTAGGGATTTAGGTTAGGGTGTTGCTATTTGCACCACCCTTTGATCAAAAGTGGGTATAAAGTATCTTGAAATTGTAAAAAGGTAAAAAATTTTAATAATTACATAGGTGGTGTAAATAGTCAAATGAGGGTTCATTTTGCTATTTGCACCACCTTAGTCAAACCTCATTTATAAGGTGTAATTAATAATATTTTAATTCAAAACCTAATTAATTAAAATATTATTAAAAAAAAAAAAAGATGAACCCCGTCACTGTTTTGCTCTTTTTTTTTTTGATTTTTTTTAATGCCTAATTATTTATGCAAATTTTTTTTTAAGTTTTTATTTTTAATAAATATATTTTATTTAAGTTTCTATTTTCAATACATCTTTTTTTTCAATATATATATTTTTTGTTTAATTCATCTTTTTTTTTTAAGTTACTAATTTTAATACATTTTTTTAAAGTTTCTAATTTTAATACATATTTTTAAGTTTATAATTTCAACACATATTTGTGGTGTAGAGAATACAAATTGGACTCATATGACTCTATATATATGTGGGGTGTGTGTTATTATATGTATCACACAATCTAAGTCATGGATGATTGGATAGAAGATTTTTTTAGTTACAATAATCAGAATCAAAGCCAGTTACTTAGTTACAATGATCAAAATCAAAGTCAAGGACATTATGAGGTATTTCAAGTTGTTATTTGAATTGTTAATGAATTGTTATTTATTTCTATGGGTGTTGCTATTTGTATTTTAAGCCAGTATGTTACATTCTTGCTTGCTAGGTAATTAGGACTCATTTAAATTAAATATAGGGAAAATGACATTTTTTCCCCCTGAGTTATATACCTATAGCATTTTTTCCCCCTAAATTATTGAAGTGGTTGTTTTTCCCCCTGTAATGTTAAATGGACATATTTACCCTTAAACTAAATATTTAGTTTATTTTTTTTCTCCAACAAATTATGACCATAATTTGGTTCAAACCAAACAAATACTATAGCAACCAAACCGAAAAATTCCAATTACAATTTAGAATCGAAATTTGATATTTAGAGTTTATTAAAATCGTGAACCGGAACGGACGGTTCATATTTCGAACTGAAAAAATAAAATACATTTATTGTTGAATTTAGACTATTTTAAAATAAAAAATAAAATTTTAAAATAAAGACGATTCAAAATCGTGAATCGGATCCGGAACCGCCGGTTCACGGTTCAAATTCAATTTTTTTGATACATAATTTTAATAAATTGACATTTAAATATTGGATTCTAGATCTGAATTATAACCGGAAACTATTAATTCGATTGCTTTAGTATCCGGTTCAATTCAAACCGAACGGTGGTCATCCCTACGTATACGCAATAATTTGTTGGAGTAGTAAAATAAATAAAATGTTTACTTTAAGGGTATAAATGTCAATTTAATATATCATGGGGAAAAAGCACCACTTTTAGAATAATTGAGGGGGTTAATGTGCTTACCTAAATAATTGAGGGAGAAAAAGTGTTATAAGTATATAACTTAGGGGTAAAAAGTGTCATTTTCCCTTAAATATAATTTCTCAATTGACTAAATAACAATCTCTTTGTTCCATGTCACAAGAGAGAAAATTATAGTATTAATCAATTTAGTGAATATAGTTGTAAATTAAGTAATTTATTGTATTTACAATATAAAAAGATAGGTAGAATATAATTGAATTGTTAATGAATTGTTATTTATTTCTATTGGGGTTGCTATTTGTATTTTAAGCCACTTTGTTCTTGCTTGCTAGGTAATTAGGACTCATTTAAATTAGATATAATTTCTCAATTGACTAAATAACAATCTCTTTGTTCCATTTCAAGAGACAAAATTATAGTATAAAGAGTACTGAATTTGGAATTTTATTTATTGGGTGACTGGTGAGTCTATCTATATATATACTGAATTAATTTAATTTGTTGTGAATATAGTTGTAAATTAATCAATTTATTGTATTTACAGTATAAAAAGATAGGTAAAAAATCAATTTATTGAGTAATATTGAGTACATAGAGCAATATATACTACAAAAAATACACAATTGTAGGAAACTATTCTACAGAGACTGAAGGACAACCATAAATACAAAATTCAAAATAGAAAGAGTGTAGGAACGCATGTAGTAGACTTATTTTATGATTAGAAACCTTGACCTCCACTTATTTTATGATTAAAATTTTAATTACATCAAAATTGTTAGAACTCTAACCCACATATCTTTATAAAATTGTTACAGTATTTACAGTATAAAAAGATAAGTAGAAAATCAATTTATATTTTAAAACTTAAAAAAATATGTATTGAACAAAAAAAGATGTATTGAAAATAGAAACTTAAAAAAAAATATTTATTGAAAATAAAAACTTAAAAAAATATTGCACAAAATAATTAGGCATTAAAATATAATAATAATAATAATAATAATAATAATAATAATAATAATAATAAAAAAAAGAGATTGATTATTAAATAAAAAAATAAAATTAATGTTTGACTATATTTAATGAGGTGGTGCAAATAACACTTTTTTATTTGCACCACCTATAAAGCTATTACACCTATTAAATAGGAGATGTAAATAGCAAAATGGGTGGTGCAAATAGAATTTTTCTTAGGTTAACAAGTAATTGAAATTAATCCAGGGTTTAGGTTTCCAATTAATCTTTCAATTACTTATTGAATGAATTAATACGGTCGGATCGGTAATTGAATTTATCGGTTCGATTAACAGTTTCATTGAAATGAAAATTTAGTTAATTTGGTTTGGACTAATTCAATTTTTGATTAACCGAATGAATACCCCACTAAAACTATTATCATCTCTGATTTCGTATCAAGATGATTGTTTTGATCTATTTTATCACTACAGTCGTTAATTCTGTTTTAAATTTTGTATATATTTTGGTTGGCAATATAAATGAAAGTAAAAGTAACATGAGAATCTAGAACATTTCAAGTAGGCATATGGTCATTTAATGAAATCAACACTTCAGGTTCTCAAATTGGTGCATAATAATTAGGAGAATAGGAGTAATATTGAGACTAGTTTAACTTTTTATTTTTAATTATCTTAGGAACCGTAATTAAC